CTGATAATACTTTCAAAAAGTTCTTGGCTTTCTTGGTGGGCCCGGTGCCAGAGGGAAACAAAATTGTTCACACCCTCCCACAGAATCCCTTCTCCTCCCCAAAGCTCAGTCCCAAGCGCAGTGCCTTGCCTCTCTCACCGTCCTACCAGCATATGAGCACCGTCAAACGCATGTTATCGTTTTTTCACCCCCTTCATTACTTGTAGAATTGATCATACATTGACAGCAGTAGCACACTTTACGACGGACGAAAAAGTACCACTATCACGCATGCTAGCGATTACCTGATTGCCATCAACGTTCTTAACCATTGGGCCGATGTCAGACTTTGTGAATCGAGCGATTCGCTAGCGAAGTCACGGTTCGAAGACTAGCATCGACCCTGCGATTTGATCGTGCGATTGCGTGACCACACGTGAAGTGCAAACGAAGTGCCATGCAGTCGTATAGTATAATGGCACTAAATGAGTGCGGAAGACAAAGGATACAAGTAAAGAACGTTGTACCGTATCATACACTATTCAGGGTACGTCATGGGCAATGTCAGCCATCGGTAATTCTTGGGAATTTCCACGACCTTTTTGGGCCTTGATATGACGCTCTCCTCACTGAACGGGTGTGTATGGAAATTAACATGTGGACGGGGGGAGAAACTCGGGGAGGGGGGGGAGTATTTTCCGTTTCCCCGCTATTCCTGCCCTATCAAGTAAGAATTCTAATGACATTTACACCTACCTCTTCCGAGAATCATAACTCCCTTCAAATTCGAGGTTTTGCGACAGGGTGAGTAGACTAGGAAATTCAATCATGCTCTCCAAAAATCGCTGAATCACTTGAAAGTTTATTCATTGGAACAAAAAAATTAGCACATTGTTATTTTTTCCGCGCTCATGCGACTTTTCAACATTCAAATGATCAGAACTTTTTTCATACTCATTAATTTGGGAGGCTGAAGCCAGCATGACAAACTTCAAGGTTTAGGCTCGTTGGGGCTTTTTTGGAAGAGCAATCATCAGGTCATTTCTTGAAAACGCGGTTTCTCTAAGTTTCAGTGGCTGTAACCAATTTGTGTAAATTATTAAGTATGTTGAAAAACTAGGAATATGCGCTTTCAAAAACTGCGAAATCAAAAAAGACAACAAAACGAAAATAAACAAAAAACGTTTTCGGAAATTCGTTCCCTCGAATTCGAAAACAACCCCTGCCATGGTGTGCGCCGTGCATGCACTGTACTTCTAATTCGCCGAGATTGCGACCCCCACCTCGTTCATAATTGTACTAACATACGGTGGAACCTGGTCAGGAAGAACCTTTGGGACCCGTTTGAGATTGGCGGAGTACCGCGCCCTTAGTACGGGAGAAGGCAGAGTGGTTAGGCCAGTCCCAGGGCTGCGCTCTTTCTGTGCAGTAACAGTTTTTATATATGCGTCAGAGGACGTAGATATGATACTGAATAAGGTCGTTCTTAATTCGTCCACGATACTTGGGGGGCTTGCATTACGTGATGGACCTGCTTTACGCAACTTTACCTATGTATTCCAAAGGAACCATGAATGCGACTTTCATCGGAATGGTAGACTGCTCAATGGGTTGAGCGCAAAATTTTTAGGGAAGTTGACAAAGAATGGACTACTTTATGTAAATTGAAATTAATTGAGTAAAGATGAGAATTGATACCTTAGGGCGCATTCATAATCGTCGTCCGATCGCAACGGTCGCAAAGTGTTAGATACGGGTCGTTCGTCCAATCCTCGGACACGTCTGACCATCGATCATCCACTGTGTTACTATCGTTATGATCGGACAACCTACTATGAATGCGTCGTCAGATATGGCTCAGGAGTGGAATGCTTTTTGCTGTTGTTCACACTCGGCCGATTTCAAAATTTTATGACCCTCCCCCTCCCTCACTCACCATAGCTACCATGACTGTTATATAGCGGTCTCAGATGCTACGGTTTCTAGGGACATACTAAAAATTCCGCCCCCAAATCCCCTCTAAAACTGCCAAACTGTCGTCGACCACGGGCATGGGAGATATATTTTCCTGTCTTTGAAACCGCCTACTCAACAATTTCGCTCATTCCGTGCCTATTTTGAGAAATGAAAAAGAATCGAAAACATCAAATGCGTCCCTCCCCTCCACCCTTTAGATTTATGGTGAAACATCATCATTTGCGATATAAGGAAAGTGGTCGGCGTCCACAGGCACCCTCGGGGTTTGAACCGCCACCGTCCGCTGTATAGGCGTGTTTGTTACTCTTCTTTTCTCATGCGTATGAAGTTTTATTCTTCCTTCGAATTCCTCTTTCCTTCCCGTTCAAAGGTGTGGAGGATACAGTACGTGTTAGGACCGTGTGGCAATGCGCTATATACTGCCTTGCGCGTATGGCGTATAAGTGACCATCAGCTACCGCATAAGGAGCTGATTCCAGAGTTCCAGTCCCTGCCAGCTCTCGCTTTAGGGCGGGAGCTGGCAGGAACTAGAAATCGCCTTGAAGCGAGAGCTGGCAGGAACTGGAACTATGGTATCGGCTCCTTATGCGGTAGCTAATAGAAATGAGAAGGATGTGGTTACCTTATTGTCAGTTGACTGTCAGTTGACTGGTAGGTGGATTTATTAGGTCGGCGTACTGATGTGTGGTTATGCTTTTGTTTAAGTCCGACCAGCTCGCAGTTAAGTTCTTAGGTAGTTCTTTCATACCAGCTGGGATAATTTTCCTCAACTACATAGCATACTAGAAACATAAACGGAAATTTATCTTATAGGACTCTCTCTGTTTCTGAATCCTCAGCATCTTCATAGTTCATTGTTTCAGTATCCTTTGGAAGACGAACTTCTGGCGTGTCTCTCGTCATGTATAGTGAGAACGAAATGCCAAGTACACGCATTGAAGATAATAAACACAAGCATGGAAACGGTTACGCCTATTAGTGCTTTTTCATTTTCTTCGCAACGTCGCTCCCAGAAGACTCGTAATCAGGCACGTGAGAGAATGCTTTCTGGGAACACTCACTGCGGATATTTTACAAATCATTGCGTCAAGACAATACTTCTGTGTTGCATCTTTTATGGACTTAAATGGACATCCAGTCACTGCTCCGATAGACGACAGCATTTTCACACATTTGACTGCCCTTGAATTCAAAATCGGTGCACCGAACATGATCACCCTTGGCGGTTTGAAGACGTTCATTAGGGTAAGTTCTATGCTCATTCATGCTCAGTTATTTTTCCATACCTAATTGATTACCATTCTGCAGGGTATGAGCAAAAGGAAGCAAATGACTCGCGGAATAATCTGCACCAATTTCTCTCTACGTGATTTGTCATTCCCTGACTGTCCGAATATTGGCTTCCGCATAAAGAAGAACATGCGTGGTATTAAGTTCTGGCTGAAACCGGACGAGCCTAAAGGGTCCATTTGAATAAAATCAATTGAAGGCCACGACAAATCAGGAGACTCTCCTCATAAGTGAAAGTGTAGTTGATTCGCTGAGGTGCGTTTAAAATGGATTCAGATTTGATAATTGGTCCATCAGAAAAAATGCAGTTGTTAAGACCCTCGAGAAAATATTGCACGTTGATTCGGGGACCGCACTCACTCACTTGCTCTTTAAAAGGACTGTCTGGTCAAGAATGGTGGTAGGGTTATGTAAAAAACTGGGTTTATTATTCTCCTGCTTTGTCGTGAATGCCTTCTGCCTTAAAAATTCTCAGTTGTGCTGTGCCTACTATCTGTAAGTCTTTTTTTGTCGAGTTTAATGTCGATTCACTTCTTGACGATCTGTTGTGACGAGGTATCTCTCTGGTTAGTTCTCCATTCGGAGCTTGAACATATTGACGCTCCTTTTGCGTGTACCTGGGTGTGGTTCGCTAGGACAGAAAGCGACTTTTTCGCGTTTCGCAGCGCGAAACAT